ATTCGGAAGCTGGAAGGAAAAGTTCCACATTACTTGAACGAGCTATTTCTCTACAACCCATAAAAACAAACAGCTCTGTATCAGGACACTGCAGTTTCACCAGTGTGTTTAGCAATTTCTAAGTTCCATGAATTAAGCTTCTGCAGCTTGAGCATGTGTTTAAAATCAGAATCTATTCCTTAAGACTGCTATAGCTTAGTAAACTTAAGCAAGAGCTAATTCTTTATGTATACCTTGTAAGCTCTTAGAATGCTTTTGAGAAAAAAAATCAGAACGCAGTGTAAACATTCAAGATTCACAGGCTGTGCTACTGAACAGACAAGATGCTCCTGGGCCCCCTGCCTGCACTTAGGGGGGCTGTTTCATTTGGTGTGCAGAGGTGCCTGCAGAAAACATTCACGCATCCACTTCATAAGGGTTAATGGACATTACAAGCTCTACTGAGAAACTGGCAGTGCCTGCAACTCACGTGAGCGTCTCACACAAGCTGTGCCAAGCAATCCAGTTTCTGCCATATTCTGCATCTGCCAAGTATCATGAAGAAAACAGTGATTTGAAAACCTAACATCCACAAGTGAAATCTAACTGTAGCCGAGCTATTGCACCTTAGAAGTTTCCTTAACTGTATTTATAGGTTAAAAGATGGTTTTCTGAGATTACAGCTTTAAACACCTTGCCTGAAATATTAAAGAAAAAGCCAATGCTTCTTTTCTTATGGTTTATAAAACCATGGAGCCAAATTATGCCTTTATACCATTTGTTGTACCTCTGTGCCCTCAGACTATAGTACATTATACTGTACTCGGAGTATATATAGATTTACTATTAATCACCATCAGAATTACAGATGAAAATTTAGCCATTCAAACAAACCTGAGATTAAACAATCGAACATAAAGCGCTTATTCATGTTTCCACAGGCAGTTCTAGCATATTTATATAAACCAGAAAAGAATACAGGTCATTCCTTTTTTTCCTATATTACTCAGGCCAGCCGGGAACCAGTAATGCTGTATCGTTTGCAGTCAAGCCAGTGTAATATTGATTTTGGCCTTTTGCCCCTGCTCCAAGCTTATGCAGAAACTGTCCTATTGATTCTGACTGAATTATTTGTGGACTACTAGGCATGAGAAGAAAAACAAAGGGAATGTCCTGATTGCTTACTGGGGCTCCACATTAGACAATCAGGTCCATATTTTATGTTTTACAGCAAATACTGTTCTACTAAGGAGAATAGAAAATGGGCAGAAAAAGTAATTTACAAATGGAAAAGATAGTTTGGTCAGTACTACACATCTGATAGCCAGTTATCATTGTATATAGCAAATTTTATAGAAGACTGCTTTATGCATAGCCTTCTGTCAAAAACATTCTCACACAACAACCAACTTGACACATGCAATTCAAAAATCTGATATAAAAAATAATTTAAGATAGGTGGGTTTGGTTGATTAATTGGTTTGCTGTCATGTTTTTTTGATAGAATCTATTTGTTCACATTTTTAACATACAAACAAGGCTATCTTTACCACCTTATCCTTTTTCTGTTTTACCCTCTCCTCAGACTAGAATTAATTAAATTGTTCTCCTGAAGTTCACAAACATTTCTTCTAAGTGATGCTGACAGCACACACATTGTGCTGACTCACTTGATCTGAGATACATGTTCAGCATGTCTTCTGCCCACTCATTTGTCATTCATCTACTGTGCTCAGTCAATAAATTATCATTAGAATAACTTGTTTTGCATGAGTTTCGTTGTTTCTTCTAGAATGGAAGGGTTCTGTTAACCCACCTAATTCAATTCGTTTTTTCCCTTCAGGTATATGTATGTTAGCATCGTCTCCTTCCTTTCCCACCAAAAATCACTGCAAGCCAACAGTGAGTACCTGCAATACTTTTAACTAAAAAGAAAAAGCCTGAAGAAAAAATACATTTCACACAGACAACATTCTCCAGGGAGATATTAATTAATGAGTCAAATTTGGAAAACACATCTCAGTTTTACTTGCAGAAGAAAACATCCATTCCTATTTTCCTCTCAAGAAGGATGCAGGGTTTTCAGAAAGGCAGAGAACCTGAACGAGGGGAAAGTTAAGAGTAGATTTAGAAATAAGCACTGAATGAGGACAGCCTCAGAGAAAGAATACTGACAAAGTACTCTACTTAAATCTTCATCCCTTTCCCCTCAATTGAAAGCAATCATTGACCTATTAGGCTATTAGGAAGTAATGGTTGCCACATAAAGAAATGAGTCTCTGAAAAGTTTAGTCCCTGAAAAGATTATTAGACCATAGCACACACTAGTATGCAAAGATCAGGAGGAAGCCTTCTTATTCAGCTTTTACTGTACAATACACCAATTTAGTCCATGCAATCACTCTGTCACTTTTAGAGAACACTGAAGTCTTTAGAATGCACTTAACTGCAATTACCTCCCAGGAATCCACTGCGCCATAGAAGCTACAGCATATGGTTTAAAAAAATGTTTTAAACAAAGTGGGTAAATAGAACGGAGAAATAACAGGTAAAATTAACTGTGGGGTGTGTGGCATGGCACATGGACACAAACTGCTTCAGGCCTTACTCTGTTCTCAGGTACTTACAATGAAATGACTCTCAAGTTGATGTGATCTGCACTGTAGCTCTCAGACACATAGACAAGGAAATTACACATGGCTAGCAACAAAGAGCAGCACTCAAAAGAACAACCTAGTGAAACAAATGTCTTACTTAAATTTGTAAACATGGAACAGGACAAATATGAAGCCAAATCTCCCAGCAATGTATGAACAAAACCCTTTCATCTCCTTAGCACCTTCCCCTTCTTCTTGGGCTAGGCCAGCACTCTGAAATAAATATCTGCAGTTCCAGTTAGCTGTAGCGCCTGCAGAAGTCTTCAGAGGATCGCAAGACTCTCCAAAGATTGCACAGTTCAAAGGTGCACAAAAGCTCTCTCAGTTTCAGCCTATTATGTATTCACATGAGAAAATAATTTTGGTATTGAGACTGCCAAGACAAGCAGTCAAAGGCAGTGAACTGAAGAAGCAGCACGGGAAAATAGCTGTACATGTATTCAAAATGAATTATAACAGGCAGGTAAGGGAAACGGACTCTAGCAAATCCTGAGAGAGAAATAATTATTTCCAGAGTGAGGTTTAGAGATTCCTGACTCACCTAAATTGCCTTTTCAGTGAGTTTCAGATTTGGAAATCTCAATAAATAATGGTATATCCTCATTCCGTGTTGCATAGCAATGCTCACTTTTAAAAATCTGAGCAGTTACAGAGAATCTCAATTCATAACGCTTAAAGTTGAAGGCATAAAGTTCACAAGGCATAAAGTTATCATTTTTCAACAATTTCCTTTGAAAATTCTGCACACTAGATCAATATCTACATACAGAGTTGCCAACTATTTTATGCTTGAAGCAAAACTTTGCTTCTTTGTTTATGAAAAGAACCACTTGTAAGCATATACAAAGACCATACACTAAATATAATAACCTTACAGTGACAAGTTACAAGTTCTTTTTCATGTAACTTGTTAATTGTTTCTCACCCCATATTTTATAAAATAAGCTGCCTTCACAACAGATCAGTTCCAGATAGAGTAACATTAGCACCTTGCCTGCAAAGCGAAACAAAACATGTTTCCCTATTTTTATTAAGTGGGGAAAAAAAATGACAGTGAAAATAAATCCAAAATTCTTTTTGACCTGCTTATGATCTAGGTTTTTCCACAAATACTATTTTTACAGGAATCTCCTACTAAGTAAACTCATAGCATAATATCTTTGCAAGACATCCACTCTGTTTTATGAATAAGATTTTCATGTCTGTGAAATTTAAATTATAAACCTTACTTATTTTTTATTAATGACTAAAAATATATATTCCTTTCAAGTGCATGGTTACTAACAGTGACCTGCTTTGATCGTGATTGTAACGAAGTACACGGTTGTAGTGTCAACCTAAACATGACATTTCCTAAAACCTTGTGAAGAGAGAGGAAAGAAAGAATATCTAACCTGTTATAATGAGCAAAAATCCAGAATTATTCTGAGAACCTCTGTTTTGGGTAAAGTGAAGAAAAAAATCAATTCATGGTCTACACAAATGATTACCTTAGACAGAGGAAGAGAACAGTACACAGAGATGCCACTTCTGCCACGGAGGAGTTTCTGTCCTCTGTCAACACTCTCTGTCTTACTGCAGCCTGGCTCCTTGGCTACAGCACATGGTTTTACAGTCAGCAGCTACAGAACAGTGGTAGTGACTAAAATGGTCATCAAATGCTATTACTGCAGTACTTCACTTCATGGATTTGATATTTTGCTGTGTTCTTGTATGAAGTATGTGACAGCCTCGAACTTCATAACTGTTTATTAAGCATGACCACCAGCTGATTGGAGTGTGAGTACAGCCATACACCAAGCAGTGATGGTACCAATCTGTCTTCCTCCTATGTGTGTCCCTCATATTCCTCTCTTGTTGTCCTCTTCTGTACACACTCTTAAAGCAAAGGGGAAGAAGAAAAGAGTTGGGGAAGGATCACCAAAGTGAGAAAAATAGAGAGAAACTGAGCCAACATGGAGGACCTATTAATGCAAGAAGGGAACACAGCTCAGTTTAAAAAGCTGCAGTTTAAAAGCTCAGAACTTTTAAATGCAACCTTGCAGCATCATTCTTCATTCATCAAGAAAACAAAAAAATTGGGGACTTCATCATTCAAATATCATGTTGTTTACTTACTGCAGAAACTAAATTCTATACTATTTGGCATATTTCTGAGCATTAACCATGATATTTAGTGCTGGTGCATGGTAAAGTTGTCTGCAAGTAAACGGAGAAATATGAGACCACACATAGTAACTTGATAACTCAAACATCCTGACCAGAAAGCAGGAAACCAAGCACAGGATCAGTGATGATCTTCCCCAAAGAGGGGACAAAGCAGTGAAAAGAGCATAAGATAGGCAGAAGCAGGTGAAAACTCACCACTGGAGCAGTTGGGTCCTCCCCAGCCAGGCTCACACTGACAGGTGTTTGGAGCAATACAACGACCATGGACACATTTGTCAGCACAGTGAGCTGTCAGTGAAGGAAATATAAAAATAACAAGTTACAGCTCCTAGTATTAAAACAAATATTCAAAAATTACCCCCAATCATGATGTTTCATGCCTCCAACATTGTTTAAAAGCAAAATAAATAAGAATACATTAATGTTCGATGGCCTCCATCAAAATATGCTTTCTAACCTCTGTCTCTTCTATTTTTTCATGTTTTGAAGGCTCCAGCTAAACTATATAATATCATTCAAATATGTATACATGTAGAAAAGAGAAAATCATCCACATTCAGTGAAAAAAACAGTCCTATCGTAATACAGGTTGGAAAGCTGTCTGGCCATGGTAGGGGGCAACTTGCTTTAAGTGTCACTGCTTGAGCAGACTGTTGAATCAGGACTGCCAATCTCAACCCACTCTGTTATTCTGTGAACCCAAGTCTTATGCCAAGGGATATGGAAACCTCTGCAAGCAAAAAGAGTGTGGATAAATATGATTTGCAACATATCAGTATCTTAACATTGATTTTTTTTGAATGGTTGCACAGTTCAAAACTCTGATGACAATTAAGGCAAGCCACAGTGTGTAAATTTTATGAGTCACTGCAACCTTTATAATAGTGCTAAGTGATGCTGCTTGAAACTTTTCATTATCAATACTCATTATGCTTTGCAAGCACATATATGTGCATTTCTACAGTTACGGCTTATTTCAAAATAAGGCTTTCTTTTTAAACAAAACTTAAAATGGCTCCAATACCCAGCACACCAATACAACTTACTCAGAATATGAGACACTGAAGAAATTGGCAATCAGCAAGTTGCTGGCAATATATTCATAAAGAAATGCTCTCAGCTTTCCAAAGTACATACAGTGTAATAATTTCCATCCAGTTCAAACAGGAATAAAACTTCAAAGATGTGCAAAGGATGAGAATTTTCTTATACCTTCATTTCCAGAAAAGCTGTGACAGGAATCTTACTGGTGTACCAATCAATACAAAGTGATCAATATGAAAAGACAAGGCTATGTTTACAAGAAGATTAATGAGATTATACACAAATTATTTATGTTTTAAAAGGATAGAAAATACTACACAATAACTAGGAAAAATAACTTGGTAAACTGCAAAAATTGCAATTTTTTTCCTAATTCAACATCATAAAGCAGGACAGTCATCTTTACATTTTGTGTGGCCATACAAAAAAGAAAGACACAAAGTGATAAACAGTATATATTACTAAAATCATTCATTATTTGAGATCACAGACATCAACTACCTTTAAGTTAGTTTTATTTTTTTACATTTAATTACAACCTTTAAGTTTCCTTCTTAACTTTTATGCCTTACAAGCCACTTTTTAGATGTGCATTAAAATGATCTTCACTAGAAATTACCAGGGAGAATATTTGTAACTGTCCAGTGATATAAAGTACTAAAAAAAAAAAAACCCTATTTAATTATTCTCTACCTATTATGGAAATAGTTACTAAATAATACATCACACATTTACATTTTTTACATCTAGACATGAATTACTTACATCTTTGAAGATTCTTGCCTAATAAGTTCTGCCTTTGGCACTTAGGGTTTTTCAGGGCCAATTGTGTGAAAAATCTTCCCAGTAAACCATAAGACAATATGTTTCTGTGTGCATGTGTGAAAATCTTAATGAATATCAACATGTAAAACCCAACATCATTAATAATGTATGCATTTTTGACATTCAAAACTCTGCTGACTCTACAAACTAGAATACATGTGGATAAGGAACACTGATGAACCTTACAAAATGTTTCTTCCAAACAAACTCAAAAATAGTTAAAATATGTGGCACACAAATATATAAAATCCCTTCTGAAAGTAGAGTAACATGTAATTCTTTACTTTGAAGAGGTTGAACTAAAGCCAAGAATGTTTCAAAGATGCTAAAAGTATATATATTTTTTATTTTTTATTTTTTATATTTTTTTCTTTTTTAAGTTTCTTAATGCCAAAAAATATATCCAGACAAGGAACAATTTCCAACTATATTCCAGACATACATAAAAACCTATTCAGTAACCAAAAGAATTATTCTGTATACACTAACTAGTCTAACCGATTCTTGCTAACAGAATCATAGTTAACATTCCTAAGAAACTGCCTCTACCAAAATTTTTGCAATGAATATGGGGAGGAGGGAATCATAATTTACTACATGATCTAAAAAATGTGCAAGGTGCAAGCAGTGTGAAGAGTACTAGAAAACAAGCTGAATAGGCCTAAATGACATCAGAAACAGTGAGAATTTTCTCATTCCTCTTACATAAGCTGTAAAGAAACACTTATGTGCAAGAGCAAATGAAAAACTTATTCCGAAATCTCTTTGATACTGAGCAGTGCAAAGAATCACCAAAAATTCACTGACAGCAGTAAATCGTCTAAATCATACCTTGTTCCTTTCTAAGCAAAAATCAGTTATCATATGAAAAGCAATCAGAGATTGCAGTTGCGTATCTGCTTTTTCATCTTATTTTCCCCATTCTTCTGTGTCTTATTGCTTCCTTTACATCATCCCTAAAATTTTGCCTTGTCCAATTCGCATACCTATACTTCAGCAGATCACATCTCTGCATTTTCATAAGCACAGGAGGAAGATTTGCCTTTCCTAACTATACAGTATCATCACCCAACTTGAAGCATCCATAAAATATCCTTCCCAGTTCTCCAGACAGAGGGTCACCTGGCTTCTCAAGTTCTCTTCCTACCTCTTGTGTTTCTGCCACCAGCCAAATAAAAATGCCCTGCTGAGCAAACTCAGCAACATGAATCACATTGGAAAGATGTGCCTTAAGTGTCAAAGCCACAATACCACATCAATACCACATCAATACCACATCAATACCACATCAATACCACAATTACAGCAATCTGAAAATGAAGTGAGGCAAAGGCTTCTCAGAAAACAATCAATTGTAGACATTCCGCATCACCACAGTTTTGGAAGGGATGCTTTTACCAGGGAGCTAAGCCAGTCATACAAGAAACATAATGTATGTAATGCAATTTTAGATCAAGATGCCATTTTTACGTACTGATTATATGACTCATAATGATACCAAAGAGAGGAGGGAGATGGGAGATGTTGTTCAGCTCAAGAGAAGACTGCAATTCAAACACCTACATACATGCTGATGGACTCCAGCATACTGCTTGCTGTGGAGATGCCGACTGCTCCTCCTACTACTTTAAATATCACAGCTGAGAGGAGTAATTCCAGCATCTCATACAACTTCTGCATTGGAGTGTATATGAAGAGTGGAACATAAAACTTGAAATTTCTGAATGGCATTTTATGAATCTGTTCTCTATGGCTAAGAAAGTGCCATGTAGTTATTTAATCATAAGTCACCACTGACAATATTTAGACAGCTGTGCATTCCATTACCTAATGTAAAAAGACAGAAAAGTATTTCCAGTAATAAGTTGTGAAGAAGACTATTCTTGCCTTTAATTAAAGTTCATGCATGCATTTTTATATCTGTCATTTATTCCCTTTAAAAAAACAGACATAAATCAATTAAAATGAATAAAAGCTTGAAATATTTTGATTGTAATTATGCACATAGATAGATGAGCAGGAGAATCCACTACAGTTCCCAGATTAGACTTCTAGCTTTTGAACAAATGAGTCAGGTCTTCAAATAAACAGTTCCTTGAAGTCATACCTGATTTCATACCTGAAATCTCCTATTAAGTGAAATTCTGATCAACTTCAAGGAGAATTAATATTAGAAAGAACAGAGTGATAACTGAATGAAGTCTGTACTTTCAGTATTAAGTATATCTGCATATTATTAATTCACAGAAATTATTTCCAACAAAAGAAATCATAAGAAATGCGTGACTCCATGGTTTGTCATTTCTGCTAATACCATTCTAACTACATTTGGATACCTAGAGTCTTTGGAAAGAATAACTTGGAGAGTTACATCCCATTTTTTCGGGAAAAATAAGCTTCTTTACCTGTTAAAGATCTCAAAATTTTGTGAGTGATGTTTGAGTGCATAAATAATTTATACTCAAAACTGAAAAGAATTCTTAGATATCGCACAAAAATTACCTCCAACTTTCTTTACCTTAATTAAAGCATGGTCTCTCAGCACTTTTTGTGCAAGATGAAATCCATGTACCTTTTAAACTGCATTATAAATGTGCCTTTTTCAAATGAAGTCTTTCCTTCTACACTGCATGTTAGAACAAATCCTTTGATCAATCCTTTTTTTCTGCTTTGATATCTGCTTTTTTGTTAAGGTGAATGGTATTCAGTTACGTACATCAAGATAGATTCTTAATTCTACCCATAGTCTGCCGATTTTGCATTTCCTGTGTCAGGGAAATTCAACAGGCTTAATCCTCCCTTAGTGCTCTTAGGAATCTGTTAGACCATAGAAATTGTATGTAAAGTTAATGTTCATGCTACCAAAATGCTGCAAGGATTAATCTACTTTGTCAACAAATCAACAGCTATCTTAATGCCTGAACTCCTTCAACAAAATTGGATGGATTTTGTAAATGTAAAAAAAAGAGATGATTATGCTTTTATGTAAAACCACCCCAGTGCAGAACCCAGTCTAGCACCCATATGACAAATCTCCTTGAGATTGAGAACAAAAAGTGACAGCAAATTATTTGGAATAAATAAAAGACTAAGCATGGAGTTTTTAAGTCTCTGAGTGAATTGCTCTATAGAACTTGATAAAATCAATCTACCTTTGAATCTGCCTGCAGAGCAGATCACCTCAGGAAATCCATTAGGTCTAACCATGAACTACTTTCATGCCATATCTGAAGAAAACCTATAAAAGTATTCTAAAAAATGCACTGCAATCATTAAGAGAAAATGAATAAATAAAGGGGAAAAAAAACAACAACAGCCAAGCTACAGTTGGCCTGCCCTTCTGCAGCTGTCAATAGTGAAGCCAGAAATCAGAAACTCCATCTCCTTTTAAACAGCAGTTATATAAGGAGTTTACAGAACAATGTCGCAGTGGAAGTACTGAGATCCTCCTTCCTGCTCATTAACATTCTAGTACTGATGCCTAATGCAATGCTGGAATTTAAGTAAATTTAAGTAAACATATTGGATATTTTATCCACCCGAACACAAACTCAGGTGGCACAACTACTTAAGGGTGGCAAAGTTTGTGTTCAGAACAACTGAATACTCCTTGCTGTTATTACCTTACTCTGCAAAAGAATCTGTCTACTGGCCAAAGGCTACATAGAAAAAATACTGTTTTGTCATATTTATTAACATAATTTAAAATACTGAGCTTAAGTGAATCTATTCAGACTGGACTCAGAAAGATTCTGAAAAGTATGTATTCATAATACATAAAATTCAGAGTGCTTTTATGTGATTATTGGTCATTCTTTTCCTACATGAATACAACATTTACAGCCTTCAGCAATCTAAGACTACCACATTTTTACAAAGGCTTCATACAATGATAAGCAATTTTCTTCCCATAATAAGCAGTGAAGTAGCACTACCATTAGTAAGCAGTTACCATAGGTGAATAGCAAATTGTGAGTGTTCAAGCTGTAAATTCCCAATTAATATTTTCAAAAGGAAGTCACAGGATTTCAGTTCATCACTGTATGCAGTGAAGTGTTGACTAATACCCAAATCATCTACCAGTAGGATTTTCTAATTGAGCTTTTTAAATCGAGAAGTCAAATAAAGGAGCAAATACAGAACAGCATATCAACAGCACATGTATTTTACTGTTCCATTGCTATTTTTCTCCTCTACATCCTCCCCAAAGAAAAAAATAATCCACACTATGGAAACAACTCCAACAGAAATCCTGCCTGCATTGCAGAGCAGCAATGACAAGAAAGAAGATATTACACTTGTTTCTTATCCTCTTCTGTCTTAACATACAAAAAAGAGAGGAAGTGTATGTATGTTTTTTCAATATGGTCATGATTTTTTTCTGGAGAAACAATTGGTGTTGGCTTTTCGACAGTGACATTTATACTTCAGTGACAGGAGAAGAGTGTTCCTCATGTCACTATCCCTTACAGGTTAATTCCAGTTGAAAACATCACACTTATTTTCCAAGTTAAAATGGACAACCAGCCATATCACACTGTATGCAGGTAAAGTCTACTCCAGTACGTGTTAAGTGTAGCATGTATAGTACAGAATGTATAAGTTCTTTACTCCAGAACATATGAGTGAAAAAAGCTAGCTGAACATAAAGCACAAAATGTTTCCCTTACTGTGTTAAACATTAAGCTCCTCCATTTTCCCTGAGGAAATGGAGCTCTAACTTGAACTGGTGGTCATGAGTGAAGGACCCTCATGCTCATGCAGGTCAATGACTGCAGAATCAAATAAATGCAAAGTTAGCTCCACAAGAGAATTTTAATTCTTATGTAATTTTAAATATGAATCAGACAGAACAAATTAAGAAACTCACATTTATACTGAATAAATAAATTCAATGTACGTACTGATAACTAATTTTCAGACTAAAGACTTATCTGCTTCACTGTGTTCTCCTAAACTAGGTAGCAAAATCCAGTGGCAAAGACAAATCTTTCATTATCCACAATTTTGTAGGTTTTGCTGGAGGAGGTTTTGCTCCTCCAAACACTGGAGGAGGTTCACCACTGTCACTGTAGCAGTAAGGGAAATGATAAAGCAATGAATGCGTCTCTATTTCTCACAATCTTGAGAAAAAAGCACTAGGTAAAGCACCATAATGCAGGCTGGAGGCATTAGGCTGGAGACACGGTGAGTTTAGCCAGGGCCTCATCCAGGGCTGCACTGTGTAGGCCAGCCAGTCCACGTCTTGGCTGAAAGAGGCAATACTAGGAACAGCTGAAAACTAAGGAATGGAGATAGCTGTTTTCCCATTCAGAGCATTCCCATTTTGTTCCCTAAAATTAATAAAAGTATACGAACATACACAGTATAGCAAATGACAGCATAATCACACGACTGTCTCTGAATAACTGAGGCTCTGGTACCTCACCTCCTACAAGTCATCCACCAAAAGGGAGCGAGCAAGGCAATAAACACACAGAATATCAAAGCAAAAAAAAGCTAGACTTACGGACACACATTTCTCTGCTTTCATAAAATCCAGGGCAGCACTGGGATTTACGCTTGTACATCGTTTTTTCACCATGTCTGTAGGCAATGCGGTAACTGATTCTAAAGGAAAAAACGAATGGTTGTTGCACACATTTCACTTTGAAAATTTATATTCTTACGTATCTTCAAAAATCTACAGCCATTAGTAAAAGGAGAAAAAAAACACTCTGAGAAGAGACCTTTATTTATCTGTTGCTGAATTCAAAAGTCTTTGTGGTTCCCAAAAAAAAACTTATTTCCATGGCTGGCCAGACAACAGTAAAGTTAAGCATTCTAGCTACTTAAGCAATGCACAAACAGGAGTATCACTACCTTCACAACTAGCAACACCAAAGAAGATTAAAAGCTAGCAAAACAAATCTATTTGCTGTATCACTAATGGAATCAGTTTCCAAGGTAGAGACTTCTGGGATTTATTCTTACAAGGGTGAGTTGGTTTCTATAGGGACAGAGACATTGCGCTGGTTAAGTGCTGGTTAATGCACTTTAAGATATCCTGAATTGTTCCTTAGTGATATTCAAAAGCCATCTGGATGTGATGCAGGACCATTTGTTCTAAGTGGCTCTGCTTGAGCAGAAGGATTGGACAGATGACTTCTAGACATGATCAAATAATATATTTATACTTCCCTTCTGAGTAACATACACTTTCCCCAGAAAATAAGGTTCAAAGCAGCCTCCTAACATTTTGGAACAAATACGTCTGACAGGATCTGGGGAAATTAATTTAATTTACTGCATACTTTTTTTCAAATTTGTTCTTTTTCTGTTAGATATCTATGGGGTAATATACCCTAACCTGCCAATAAAATTTATGTGAATTTGCTTGGGTTAGGCATTTTCCAGTTGTCAGATACCTTACACATTACACAAATAAGTCGCCATAGTTAAAAGATTCTATATATCATGCTATATTTCAGCAGAAATAAGTTCTCTACAAATACATACAATACCAAGATTTTGACAATATTAGCAATTATACATCACCTGTGTCGTGTGCACTTAAACCAGTTTAGGATGTCAGTACAACTGGTGTAGTAAATTTGATCAAAAGGATGTGGATATGACTCTTGCACTGTGACTGAATAACTGGGGAGAGACAGAGAGAGGCCAGACATATTATTGAGCAAGTGTTTTACAGTAATAATCACTGAAACAGATGAAACAATTGTGCTAACCAACAGTCTGTTCAGGAGTCAGAAATTATATTTTATCCACACTTTTTGTTTGCTTGTTTTCTGTTTAATTTTGAACAGAGAGCCTTTTTTCAGAAGTATATACTGAAGGTCTTCTACTGCTTTCTGCCAGAATGAGTGTGGTGCCCTAGAAATAAATCTGTGCTCTGAAATCCAGACCCTCCAGAGCTGTCAGTGGGGCCAGAGAAAGAGATCTTCTGCTGCAGCAGGGAAAAATATTGAATCACCCTAGAAAACTCTTGTGCAGACTGTTTGTGCTGGCAGCCTGTCAGTCCGTGGTTGCGTAAAAGAGTTAGAAAATACGGGAATGCGTGATCTCTCCCTCTTGTAGCACTGGTTCCCAGGAGCAGTCAAAACACTTGGTGAGTGTACAGCTCATCTGAATTTCCATGCCACCTTTGACCCCTCAGCACCTACTTCAGGGCAACAACCACAATCTCTTCCTACTGCTATCACTTATACTGAGAGAAAACATATCCAGATCCGTTCATTCCTCACTGCCCAGAACTTGCTCCCTGTTTTCCCTATTCCCTAAAAAGGCAAGCATCTCTAATTCGTCCAGCTGTAAGACAGCCTGACAAAACGTCTGTGCCTGCTTGTTGCTGAATGCCACATCCAGCTCATCCATTTTTGCTGTGATCAGAGTTCATCTGTGAAGATCATTTTATAACAGAGCTGGTAGGTTTACAGCACTGCGACTGAGAGCAGCAGCCACAAACTTGTATCTGGAGGCTTTACTCTGCTGTAGCTGTATTCATTCCCCTGCTGCCCGCTCTAAGAAACAGCACCAGTTTCAGGAAGTTCACTTGCAGCTCCTCATTTCTGAGGCTTAAATAATTAGAGAAAGATAAAACTTTATTCAAAAACTGAATGTGCTTGATGAACATTTTTTCTTCTGCAGACTTTCATCATTTTATAACATGTTATGCTATGTAAACATTGCTGTTTTTTGTCATTTTGTTTTCAGTACTTTATGTCTTCCCTCAAAACCTCTGTTATGGATAAAAACGATATACAATGTGGAGTAGCATCAAGTAATAACCTCAACTTGAGTCTGAATGTTGTAAACAGGTATTTAGTATGGTAACTTCATGTACCAAATATTGTATATGCTAAATTGCATGCAAAGTTTCTGCTCCTACCCTTGTTTAACACAAGCTGAGATTAATTGCTGAGGAAAATCCTTAAGTGCATTTTTTTATATGCAGACTTTATAAAAAATGAAATACAATGAAATGAAAGTTTCAACTTTTTCTGCAAAGATTTAGCCATATCAATTGCACGTAAATGTACAGTGGCTCAGCACCATTCCCAGCATAAAATACAATTTACTTCCAGTGAAGACAATACTTATGTTTTCAAATGAACACTTAGACTTGCTCAGGAAATAGCTGATCAGTCATGGCCTTAATAAAATAACAGCAGTGAGACATTCAGGCCTTGTTTCACTACCACAATCTTCACTCAAGAAAAGTACAACAAATGCTTGCAGTTCAACCTCTGCTACCCACTGTGAGCATTCTACTTGCAATTAACATGAAATTCGTGAACAAATTGATTAACTAAATGCATGAATTTATAGCTGTATGTTACAAATTTCTGAACCTCATCAAAAAAATTAAACAACAAATCTTAATTTGGATTCCAAGAATGTTGAAAAGGAAAGAATCAGCATAATCAAATTTGGCCAAACTCCAATATGGCTAATTGCATTTTGCATATGTAAAAGCTCCTTTTCACTTAAATAAGAAAAAAGCTTTGATCCCTTTCTTGTCCTTAGATGGTTCTGTAACACTGCCTGTGCAACTGTTGTGGTTTTCGCATTCTAACTACTACCACAAAGATGGCTGCATTTCACTCCAGCATGAAAGTCTTTTACTTACCCTGAAGTTACTCTGCCCATGTGTTAGCATAAAATTTTATTCCTAGTTCATTATTCTATTGAAAGTTTTAAATCACTTAAAATGTGTTAAGTAAAACATACTAGTAAAACATACATTATTACAATCAGTATTTGTATCAAGTTTTCTGTTAAAGAAACTATTACCTTTCCCAGTGGCTACACACATTTGGATCTTCAAGATTCAAAGATAAAGTTGTCCCCAGCCAATGGTACAGGAGAATAATTGGGAATCCAGAAAGGGAGTTCAAATGAAGAAACATCTTTTCAAAAAGGTAGCCTGTAAAAAAAAAATATATATATTTATGATTTATGAAGATATTATACAAATGATAAAGGAGCCAAAACTAACTAGTCATTTTATTAGGATATATATAATCAATGGTTTGGTGGTAAAAACCAGTGGGTACTTCAAGAAACACATGATGCCTGCCCAGCAGCAGTAAATACATGCCCATTTTTGGTAGAAAACAAATGAAATCATTTTCTGCAAGTGGCTGGGCAGCCATCACCAAATTGCAGTCAGTCAGACTCAGACCACTTTATGGTGGTTGTCCTACCAGATCACTGATACAGACAGCTGTAGTTTAAAGGAAATGCTAGAGCCTCCTGAAGACCACAACAACAAAAATACCCCCATTAAAGATTTGGCTGACAACCTGTCATCAAAAAAGCCTGAACTTGACTTACTCAAAAAAGTGATTTGTGCTTCCCCATTGATGGATAGCAGCATCGATTTTTTCAAAACTGCAGATAAAGACCTTAGGCAGCTTCAGTTGATGTGGCACTTTCTGTTAAAACCATATCCCCGAAATTATGAACAGGTTTCACAATGCAACCTCTCTAAGGATGCCTAAGCTCTGAAAACCTGGGCCAGCAAGGGTGCAGTGCCCAGTGTCTGCTCAGGAAAGGCTGCATCTCAATACCTGGTGCTGCCTCAATTTTAGCTCATGCACAAAACACCTCCCCACAGGGGATAGGGAAAGGTGTCATATGATCTTTTATTAATTCTTCAAGATGTTAGACAACACTATTAGTAGGTGCAACATTAGTTCACGATTTGCAAAAAATGTTACAGTGCCTTTTACTAACTAGCCAATAATTCCTATGCAAACAAATTAATTAACGAGAGGAAGAGTTTCAATCAATTTGCTTTAAATCGTCAAAAGACAGTGCCTCATTTTATTCTAGTGTTATTGCTCTTTTAAGTCCAATTCCCCATATAGCCTGCATAAATATCTCCTTCATTACCGGTTTTACAATTCCCAAATAGAAAAAGCATTCTGCTCATAAACGAATTACCTTAATAACATAAAAGTCTAGAAGATTGTCTCAGTACTCTGAGTCTGTCTTAGATTTCAAGCAACGTTTTAATTTACATACCAAATCACGTAGAACTTGACTTACCTTAAATTCCTAAATGCCAGAATGAAAGCTGGCAGAAGATAATCTGTAATAGCTCAAACTACCCTTCCTCCCCTTCTGGGAAACATTTGACCTTATATCTCAATTTTCAAACAAATTTTAACACTATATTTCTTCTGAGATAAAAAAAAGAAAAAAGAAAAAAGAGATAATTGAGTCTAATCTGCAGGATAATAAGAAAATAACTTCTGGTTAATGTACTTTTTTTTTTCAAATATTACAAATACTTCTAACAAAGTAAAATAATTGAAAATAGAAATTTATTATTTTAAATATTGTGGAACAGGTAAGAGCAAAACACACCAATTACTTATTTTAAGAGAAAACAGGCTACAAATCCATGAAAATAAGGAGATGGAATAGTCTTACTTTACAGGACCCTCTTCAGAAGTCAACGCAAAAAAACTCACAGAAAGAAAATACTGTATTTAAGATAGTTGGGAATACAGAGATGATCCCATTTTGCTAAATCTCTCTTGAAAAATCATGGCTGCTGAAGGACATTTCACAGTCTATAACTGTTTCTCTGCATAGCAGAGTAGCCAATGTGGAGTTGTTTAAGATGGAATAAAAGCAGATGTATTTTCAACTAATAATTTCAACAAAGTGGCCATTTCCCTCATTAGAAATAGTCACTTTGATTATGCAGACTGTAAACTGTATTTCTTTTTTTTTCTTCTTCTCAACTTCAGTAATTTTCCTTTTGGATACATTAAACGAAGTATAAAATTAATGAAATAAAATTTAAAAAAAAAAATTTGCATGAACCCCCTAGTGTACAACTTGATTGCATTCCCGATCTTTTGCTTAATTATTAAGGAAAATCAAAACAGAAAATCAGCACCACTGATTAGCATTGCTAAAGTGTTTATATTAGCAATAAAAAATGCAGATGACTGATTTAACTCTTGATGTCTTCAGTTAGCACTGAGATACCCTTTGCAGAAATTCACTTTTCTTCTTACATTTTGCTTAAACCATCTCACCCAATAATACATCAGTGTCCTCACTATCTACATCCAGTGTACCTTGATTTAAGCAATTAAAACATTCAGGCTGCAGGACGCCTTATCTCTGTAAATCAGTGATTAGTAGAAGTGAGAGGGAAATAATAACACACACTAAAACTGACAGCTCCTCTGGCCTGCTACATAATATTGTGTAATTCATGTTCCCAAGCCATAAACTCTACCAGGCATCTACAGAAAACTTTAAAATCTAATTACCCTAAAACTTGGAGTAAAAGCTATCTTCATTTGCATTCGAGAAGGACCTTTAAGGTAAGTCCTGTGCAATGAGGTGACAGTCTGTTTAGATCAGACATATCTCTGTTTCCATGGGCTTTAATGCAGTCCCACAGTTTTAAAATGTGAACAAGAAAGCAATACCACTGCATGAAGCATCTGCAGATTACTCCCATACGCTTCTGTGCTCTTATTAAATATATTTAGCTCATGATACGTCTATTTTATCAAATCAAGATATTAATAGCCATCAATAATAGTCATATTAACAAATTGAACATCCCAAGGCATATTGTAATTACTAACAAGCTCATTTTTAAGATGGAATAACAGGTGTATCCTAAAAATATACTCCCCAAAATTATGAATACTCGCCTAAAACACTTCAAATGTGAGCAACTACATGAACTACATTAATCCCATCAGTAAGCAGATGAAAAAGCCTGTATATATATAATATATAGGCATAAACAAAGCTAACAAGGCTGTCATCTGAGACTTTTAGGCACTTTCTCTGTGAACACCAGCAGTGTTGATACTCTGCACACATTCTGATTTGTTATTGTTTCTTCTATACAATGTAGGATCAAAACCAGAATAAGGAAAAGAAAAGAAAAGAAAAAAAGAAAAGAAAAGAAAAGAAAAGAAAAGAAAAGAAAAGAAAAGAAAAGAAAAGAAAAGAAAAGAAAAG